CCCCGCATATATATTAACCACTTGTGATAATTCTGCTCACTAAATAATTTCAATACCCAATTCATCTCACATAATCTTATAAACCTTTTTCTTATAGAACTCATTTGGAATAAAAATTATTCTATTAAAATTTACAAATTTGATTCGGGTGGGATCCAGTCGGGTCGATCCTCTCTTAATTGGATCAATAATTATTAGATTAATAATAAAAAAATGTAAAATAAAAAAGTATTGCATAGGAAAGTTGAGTTGGGTTTTTCGGCAATTATGACTTTTATTTGAGTAAGTGAAAGTCTTGTGATATTTGTGTTAGAAAATATAGTTATATAATTTTAGTAGAAAAATATTATAGTTATTGACTATTTGTAAAATTTACCTGTTAGAAAACACCAAACTTCGCCGAGAGTGAAGGAAGGTTAATTGAGTTTTCACAAGGAGTCAAGCATAGATTGGTTTGGACCATTAATTACGCAAAAGAAATGTGAATGTTCATCACTTGTATAGTTGTATTTCACGGTAGTCAATTTACTCTTTGGTTATTCAAAAAGAATTCCCGTTATATATGTATTAATAGTATAAAGAATTTTTATATTATCAGTGTTATTTAATTTAGTGTAGTCATATAGTTAGCGATATTAGTCCCTCAAATCCTCTCCTCAATGATTGTACCCCGAAAGAAAAGGTTGAGATTGTGAAATTTCTTCTGTGTAATTTTTATTCAGTGTAGCTTCACTATATACGAATCTATGTATAGATACAAAAGAATGTAAATAAAATATTCATATACACTTGTACTATTTCCTATTGGCTAAATGTCTAACTAACTAACAGAAATATTCTTTGCAATGTATGTGTGTGTGCCATGCACGTGTGAAAATTCTAGAACCTTTCTCATCTGAAATGAGAAGCATTGAGTGAATGACTATGATTTATCCTTCCCTTATCAAACCAACGTCCCAGATGAAGTTAGAGTTTTAGCATCAATGCTTATGATTTTGACACGTGTCTCTCCTTAAAATAAGATTAGTGTCTCAGCAAATTTCTTCAGACATAAGCTCAAATAATTCCTTGGAGGCTTCGAATTTCTTCTCACTTCTTCTTCTCTCTTACTTCTTCACTATTCTGTGAATCATTCTTTGAATCAACACGGGGGTTCTTATCTTCAACATCCCCCCTCAAGATGGAGGGGAGAGAATAGACCCCCAACTTGCTCAGAATATGCCGATGAGAACCCCCAGATAAGGGTTTGGTGAACAAATCGGCGAGCTGACAGTCGGATGGAACAAAAAAGAGAGAGATATTAAACCAGAAAGGAATTGCTGACGAACAAAATGGCAATTGAGTTCACATGTTTGGTGCGTTTATGAAAGACTGGGTTGCGAGCTATGTGAACCACAACCTGGCTATCGGAGTGGATAGGGACTGGTAAGGTAGGCTGGACTGTGAGATTCCCAAAAGAGAACAAGCTAAGTGATCTTGGATGTTACTCGATGCATGGAACGATATTCACCTTCGGCAGATGACAAAGTAATGGAAGCCTGCTTTTTGGATTTCCAGGAAATAGGTGCACCTCCAAGGGTAATGAAGAATCCACTCATTGAGCGTCTAGAATCGCGACATGTTGCCCAATCAGCATCGCAAAAGGCCAGCAAATCAAAAGAGGGGTGTGAAGATAGAAGAACTCCTTGTAAGGGATCTGTGCGGAGGTATCTTAACACACGTTGAGCAGCAGAATAATGGGAAAGACAAGGCCTTTGCATGTATTGACTGAGTGATAGAACATCAAATGCGAGGTCAGGTCTGGTGTTTGTCAAATAGTTAAGCTTACCAACTACATGGCGATGAAGACTTGGGTTTTCCATTGGTCCCCCAAATCTGCTTGAAGCTTGATGGAAGGGTTAAGAGGTGAAGAAATTCTGCCTCCTGAACAATCTAACTCTTGTAGCAGTTCTAAGGTAAACTTTTGTTGGTTTATAATGAATCCCTGCTTTTTTCTGAGTATTTCCATGCCTAGAAAGTAATGAATATCACCTAAATGTTTCACTTTGAATTCTGAATTGAGAAAATCAGTAATTTGTGCAATCTGTATGGCATCATCCCCTGTGAGTAGGATATCGCAGCATATACTGCTAGGATAGAAACAAGAGCACCATTGTATTTGTAGAAAAGAGAATAATCATTGAGAAAGCTAGAATAGCCTTTAAAACTCAAAGCTCCTGCAAGTTTGGCATACCACTATCTGGATGTCTGTTTTAATCCGTAAAGAAACTTCTTCAAGAGACAAACTTGATTTGGTTTAGGCGGAAGAACACCTGCAGAGAATTTCATATAGACCTCTTCTTGCAATTCCCCATGTAAGAATGCATTATTCACATCAAACTGTGACACCTTCCAACCTTTCTTCACAGCCACAGTCAAAAGGCACCTTATGTGGGTCATTTTGACCGCTGGTGAAAAGGTTTCAAAATAGTGAATCCCTTCTCTTTGAATGTCCTCCCTCACTACTAGCCTAGCTTTCAATCTTTTCACAGTTCCATCTGAATGATGTTTCACCTTGTATACCCATTTACAAGGTAAAACTTTCTTTCCTAGAGGCAAATCCACCACATCCCAAGTGCGGTTTAATTCTAAAGCTGTAATTTCTGCATCCATAGCAGCTTTCCATATTGGGTGATTAGAAGCTTGGGCATAGCTGCTAGGTTCAGAAATAGTAGATAGGGATTGAACCAGATGTTGATTGGTAGGGTATAGAGCTCCAAAAGAGAAAACATTAGGAGTAGCAGGCTGGGTGAAACAAGAATCAGTGAGATTAGAGAGAATAATAGTATTGCACACATAGTATGTCAAATAAGTAGGCCTTTGAGAAACTCTGTCAGACTTTCTTATAGGTGGTGGAGGTGTGAGAATCACATTTCTTGATGTTGTGTGAAGGGGTGAGTAGGAAAGAGTGTAAGACTCAATTGGGATTGGTGTGAGTTGAGCTCCAGGATGAGGTGAAAAGGGTGGAATTTTGGGCGAAATAGAGCTAGAACCAGATGTCCTAAGAGGTGTTGAATGAGTGTCTGAGAGAGGTGAATTTGGTAAGGAAGTAAGTTCTATCTGATATAGAGAAGAGTCATCACTAGGAGTTAGAGAGGAGGTATTGGTAGTTGGCATATCTGGTGCAAAGGTATGAGTAGTGGGATTAAAGCAAGATTGAAAATAGGTGGAGGAGTATGCTGAGTGAAAAGGAAAGAATTCTTCATGAAATTTGATGCCCCTGGATACAAATACCCTTTTTGTATCTATGTCCAGTACTTTGTACCCCTTTTGACCTTGTGCACACCCTAAAAATACACAAGACTTAGCTTTAGGTTTAAATTTTCATCTGTTCTGAGATAAAGTGGACACATAGCACAAACATCCAAAACTTCTTAGAACCTCATATGTAGGTTCTTTCCCAAATAGAATTGCATATGGTATTTTCCCTTTCAACACCTTTGAAGGGAACCTGTTTATCAAAAATGTTGCCGTTAAAACACATTCTCCCCAATATTGAAGAGGAACCTTGGATTGGAATAGTAATCCTCAAGCAATCTTCAAAAGATGTCTATGTTTCCTCTCAACTACACCATTCTGTTGAGGTGTAGCTACACAAGAGGTTTCATGAAGTATCCCTTGTTCTTGAAAGAATCTAGATTCTTGTGTTTCCTTTACCAATTCCCAAGCATTGTCTGATCTCACCCTCTTTACTTTCTTGTTAAACTGCCTTTCAACCATAGAAAAAAAAGACTTCAAAACTGGAAAAGCATTGCTTTTGGTACTTAATAAAAAAGTCCAGGTTGCCTTACTAAAATCATCAACTAAGGTCAAAAAATAGTTGTATCCATTGTATGTAGTAGTCTTAAAGGGACCCCAAGTATCTATGTGAATAAGTCAAATGGAGATGTAGTTCTGACTTGGCTAATAGGAAAAGGGAGCCTAGTTTGCCTAGCCTTGGCACAGATGTCACACACATTTTTGAAATCTAAAGGAAATTGAACAAAACTAAATTTCTTCGTTACTGAAAAAGGCAAATGCCCTAACCTTACATGCCATTGAGTTACATCTGAAACAACATTAGTAAAAACTGAAACTGGAAATGAAACTTTACTAGGTACTAGACTAGAATCACTTCCTTGTAGAATAGAAATTACATTTTGACTAAATAAAATTCTAGACTCTAAAGTTCTAGGCTGGAGTAGATATAGTCCATCTCTTACTTCATCAAAAACTTGTCCTCTCTTTATTAAAGGGACATGCAATAGACATTTACTAGAAGTAAGGTTGACGATGCATTTGAATTAAGTGCATAACTTATGAACAATAACAAGTTATACTTGAAAGATGGAACATAAAGAACTATTTCTAGAATCATATCTGGCTGAATGCAAACCTGCCCTATGTGTGTGACAAACAACTGAAAAGAATTAGGCAAACTTATATCTAAAGGCACAAGTAAGGGTGTTAGAGTTAGGAAAGACTTGGAATCAAAACACATATATTCTGAGGCACTTGAATTAGTTATCCAGGTTTTAGTATTAAAATCAGCAAGACATGTTCCTGAATATTTAAGAATAGTACCAACAACAGCATTGACACTAATTTGTGAGGTTGCATTTCCTGTATTCCCAACATGCACCTGTCTGATTATGTTTACCAGTTCAGAGGCCTGTTCCTTACTGAAAAATTATGTCTGATTGTTTGGGTTTCCTTCATTGTTCTCACTAGACTTTCCATCACCCTGCTGATCTGAAACAACAACATTTGATTTTATTGTTGCTCCTTGAAAATTTCCACCCTTAGCAAATTGGAATTCATCAGGGAATCATATAAGTCTGTAGCAGTGAGCCCTTACATGTCCTATCTTTGAGCAATGGTTGCAAGTAGCATTGAGATTAAACTTAGATTTATTTGTCTTAGACTTATATTGTGTGTTTCCTGACTTTTGCTGAGAACTCAACCCTTTTGCATATGGTTGTTTTTCTGTGGGAATTTGTTCCGTGATCCTACCATAAAAGAAGCCCCATAAGTAGGATATTGTGGGCTCATATAGATCTCCCTTTGGCTCTCATCTTATAGTAAGAGTGAGTAAGTTTGATCCATCCCAAGAATGGGATTGAACATTAGAATGTTTCTCCTTGCTTATGCATAAACATCATTTAGTCCCATTAGGAATTGAATGACCTTTGGTCTTCTATGAACTTAGCCATCTTCTTTTTACCATCACAGTTACATGCACAAGTACACCCTAAGTGTGAGTTAAGTGAGTCCAGCTCATCCCATAGTCTCTTAAGAGTGGTAAAATAACCTGATATGCTGCTGTTTTCCTAAATTGTTTTTGAAATTTCCTTCTGCAGATGGTATAACTTTGCTCTACTTGACTGCCCAAACCTGTGTTCCAGGCTGCTCCAAAGGTCCTTAGCTGTTCTTGAGTAAATGAAACTGTCACCTATCTCTTTGTTCAAAGTGTTAGCAACCAAGAGGTGAACATGTCATTGCACCTACTCCACAATGGATAATCTTTGTCATCCATTGTTGGCTCTACACAAGATCCATTGATGAAGCCAAGTTTGTTCTTGGCTGAGATTGCAATGAGAACAGATCTCTTCCATCCTGGGAATCCTCTTCCATCGAAAGGTGAGCTCACCAGACCCATTCCTGGAGTGTCAGAACAGTGCAAGTGATAAGGGTTATTGGAGTCATCTGTCACTCCACTGCTTATGGATCCGGAGACAGAGATAACAGTTGCAACTTTTGTAACAGTCATGATTGAATCCACAGATGGATAAGAGAAAGAAAATTTGATGAAAACTTGAGATGATTTGTGAATTGATCGAGCTAAATTTGCTCTGATACCATGAAAGAAAAGTCTAAGATTGTGAAATTTCTTCTGTGTAATTTTTATTCAGTGTAGCTCACTATATACAAATCTATGTATAGATACAGACGAATGTAAATAAAATATTCCCATACACCTGTACTATTTCCTATTGGCTAAATGTCTCACTAACTAATAGAAATAAATGTGTGTGTATGTGCCATTCACGTGTGAAAATTCTAGAACCTTTCTCATCTGAAATGAGAATCATTAAGTGAATGGCTATGATTTATCCTTCTCTTATCAAACCAACGTCCCAGATGAAGTTAGAGTTTTAGCATCAATGCTTATGATTTTGACACATGTCTCTCCTTAAAATAAGATTAGTGTCTCAGTAAATTTCTTCAGATATATGCTCAAATAACTCCTTGGAGACTTCGAAATTCTTCTCACTTCTTCTTTTCTCTTGCTTCTTCATTATTCTGTGAATCATTCTTTGAATCAACATGGGGTTCTTATCTTCAATATACCCCCACCTAAGACTGTTTAAGGGGAGGGAATAATCCGTAATCGGTTCGATTCGCTTCGGTACCGATACCGTTCCGTCCTGATTCGATTGGGGGTTACGGGTAAGAAATTTAGGCCAAGAAAACATGGTGTGGGAGGGTACCGAAAAAGTACCGGTAGTGCTGATCTGGTTGGTACCCTTAACATACCGAACCAGTATCGATCCTATATCGAACCGATGCCCTTATATTTTCTTTAAAAAAAATATCCTTAACAAAATCACAGCTCTCTTATCTTCTCCAACCAAACATGTTTAAATCAGTGTTTCTCTAAAAATTGATGGCTCCTTTTAAAGCATTTATATTTACTAGAGTATTATTTCGACTGATGACTTTTATATGATAAGTATTCCAACTCATGCGTTGCCTCAATCAGGTGACAATTTCAGATCTGAGTCTCTCTCTCTTTTACAACATTAAATCATACCCTTCCATAGTTTACGACTTTACGTTGCTC